GTCATATTGAAGGGTGCCTGAGGACTTTTTGGAAATACTAATATAGAAAAAAAACTCTATCTGACATGGTAGACTTTTTGGTCTATTTTTATAATCTATAACATATTTTTTGCCAGGGCCACATTTTGACCGCGAAATTGAACGACAAAGTTCGCAATTTTTACGCGCCATCTACCATCCGGGCTCCCATATATGGAGTGCTCTTCCAAATATGGAGTGCTCTTCCAAATAATGTGCACACACCCCGGCCCCACTGAAGCGAAAGCACGATTCCGCTGGGCCACTTGAAGCAAGGAATGTGAACTGTCACAGTGTGTGTGAGCTTCACTTTGCCATTGGGAAAGGAAAAGACAATTTTCCTGATACTTAGAGCGTTTGTAAATACAGTACATCATGTTATTTGTAGACCGCTAAGTAACCAAAATCTGCCAACTGCAAAGAATTTACGAAAACCTGCCATGCCGGCTAATCAAGTCGGAACACATATTCAACTGGAAATATACCACAGAAATCACCAAGAAAAAGGCATGGATTACGCCAACAACTTCCTATGAAAAAACATTTGACTGCCAAAAGGAACGTTTGACTTTGTTTCGACTGCAAAATGTTTGTAAATATACTACCGGTAGTAACTGTTATATGCAGTTGTAGGAAGAAGATACTAGTACTTGAACAAACAAACATGACACAAGAACTGATTTCCAATCTGCAACGTTCTTTTTTATTTAAAGAAATACAATACAAACAAACTTCAAGCTATCTTAGAGCGGAATGCACACACAATCTTACTGTAACGACGAACATATCTTTACGGTTTACAGCGGTGGCAGCTTATAACGGATCGTCCATATAAATTTTGCAGATAAAACTCCGTACGTAAAAAAAAATCATATACTGTAAGCACACGTCTACTAGGACAACATTCAACAGAAATTCACATAATCAACAAAATTATATTCGCTAGTAATCTCATACCACGTACGGGCAGGCTTTTCTCCAGGGCTATCTACTCCAGTAACTCCATGTTTTCAGTCTTTTTTTCCGAGTATGTTGCTGTTTCGAACCTGCTGTTTCCGTAACATAACAAAGAACTTTGGGGGTAGGCATAAAAAACAAGTCCGTAACTCCAGAAAACGCGGACGGTTTTTCTCCAGAAAGGTCTCAGAATAGTCCATGAAAGTCCACCTGCAAAACTACGTAGGGTATAGCCGTTTAAAAGATTGTCTAGCGGCCCAAATGTTGCCGCAAACCGCACAGCGTCCTTCGCGGCATCCACGTCGTCGTCCGCCATTTTGGTTTGGTCACGTGACTCCCCCACGCTTTAAGAATGGGGATGCTTGGGCTGTTCTTTTTACTGGACATATCCCCGGCCTGTTTTTCTAAATCGCGGATCAGAATGGTAAATACAGCGTGCTGAAGGGTCAATGACCCGCATTTTACCGGAAGTCATCGGGGCCTTTGGAATGCGGACCAGAACCTGGCGATTTCGGCTCTTTTTGGCTCCAAAATGGACATTTATGTAACCCATACAGCATATACAGCATTTTTAGATCAAAACTGTGGCAAAACTGCTAATGAAAAGGGACCAAAAATTGTTTTATTTTAAACATAAGCTTCTAAACTAAAAACGTACGTCAGGCCGACACGCTGCGCCGCTTTATGTGCTGGGGAGGGCCGCTGGCGTATGGCACTGTTAAAATTTACGAAAAAAATTCATTAAAAATCAACATTTAAAGATAGAAAAAAATCCTGACGTACGTTTTTTGCTATCACTATAGTGCGCCTCTCTACAAAATATGGTCAATGAAAACCAAAGCACTGGCCAGGAAAATTGATTTTTCTAAAAAGGGGGTGTGGCTCATAACTCCAGATTACGTCATCGTGACGTCATAAAAATTTGCATAAATTATTGTCTTGCAATAAGGTACTTATATGAAAAATTTCAATGACCAAAAGTAATTCTAACTAGTATTTTTAAGATGTCCCCAAAGTCCTCAGGCACCATTATACACTACCTTAAAATTAAATTTGACTTGCTACTAGTATATAACAGAAGGAAAACTGAAAACATAATTTTGTCAAATTTATCCCTTAATAAGTGGGAAAGAGTGTCTCAGGATAATCAATTTTAACATTACCAAACCCCCCCTCTTTGGTCATGTTTTTAAGACTCAGTTTGCACTGGATGGTTGCCCATCTACATGTATACCTGACCCCTGCACTGAAAAAATCTGTTGAGAACCCCTGTAGTTCTGAAGCTACAATGATTACCTCCATGAAAAATGGAGGTATTGTTTTTGGCGGCGTCTGTCTGTGTGTCTGTGTGTCTGTGTGTGTTTCCGCAACTTTGTTGTCAGCATAACTTCATAACGCCTTTATGGATTGTGATGATATTTGGTATGCTGATAAGTCTTAGGAAGACAAAGGTCAAGGTCAAATATGGGCCTCCTGGTGGATGACCTTGGTACTGCAGCAGAACTTCCGGTTTTTGTATCTTTGGTCCTGAACATGCTATGGTCTTGAATTTTTGGTGACAGATAGCTTTTCCTGTCAGGAATAAGTGGTGTGGGTTTGGTCCCCCTAGCAGCTTGTTCAGGAACTGCAGGGGACTTTCGGGCGAAATCTTTGAAAGCCAATAAGTCCAGATAGGAACAGCGTATTTTCATCAGTTTTGGTGTGTAGCTATCTGACAGAAAGATGTACATAATAAACTGCAAATTATGCAAATGAGGACTTTATTTGCATAATTAATGAGGAAATTCTATAATTACAGTGTTTTACATTATGGAACTTTCATGCATGTAATGTATGTAACCTATGGCAGATGGAACATCAACAGATACTAATTATGCAAATGATGACCTAATTTGCATAATTAATGCAAAAAATCTATGATTTCTCAATGGTGAATGATGGGAATGTCATACTTGGGACATCTTTAGGTTAATCAAAAGTTAACATCACGATGCATATATTATGTTAATGCAGAGGTCATTTGCGTAATTAAAGAAGAAATTTACATTTACATATCAAGCCCATATTTCATGGAGGTATGAGATCTCGGAACTCTTGTTAGTTGTTGTCTTGAGGTGTTTTATATATATAGGTTTCTGTTTCAGTAATTGGCTGTATAGATTGTTCTTTTATCTGGCAAGTCAATGTGAGCTCTTTAAACTTTTAATAAAATAAAGAAAGCAGCAATAAATGTAATGATTTTTCTGATCATCCCTAATGAAGTAAAATGTTTAACATACCCATGATTTGCACGATATTGCAATGAACTAGACTGTGAAATGGAGTATCAAGATCCCAGGTAAAACTGAAACCGAAATCCAATAAATTGAAAAATTAGAGGACAACCCTGAATGCAGGAAAAATAACTGTTATAGTAACAAAATAAATATAGATAGATTGTTTCGAAAATGCCATCTTAACCCCTGCCAAAAGAAAAATAGTAAACAGTATTAAGAAAAAGGTATAAAAGTTTATCAAAAGTTGTATGAATTACCATGAATTTTTCTGACAGTCCACTGGTTATAGAAGAATGTCCAGAGGAAGACGACCACCGCTCCAGGAGAAGACAGAACCATATAGCAGAGGAGTATGGGATAGAGATGAACAACACAGGCCACAGCAGGAGGAGGAGATACAGTATAGAGGAGGAGGACTGCTCTGAGGATGGAGACACACCAGTGAGTAGGATGGTCCTCTTTAGAGTCAACTGATTCTTCTCATACATTATTTATCTTTAACCATTTCTGTCATCAAATCACAGAATGGTTTCATTGGTATTTTAACAAATGGAGGGATCAGGTGCTTTAATACATGTAAATGGAGGGATCAGTAAACATCTAGTGACTTACTCTTAAAAAGCTGAAATATTACATCTTATAAAACTCTGATTCATGTGGGAAAACAACTATTCCAGAACACTGCTTCATACAAAACAAAAACACAACTAATCACTTTCTTTAAAGATGCCGTTTTATTGTTTTATG